TATCATTCTCAAGTCATAGTAATTTTAAAGTAAAAAAATAAGTTAAGATGTAGTTTTTCCGATAGGCAATTCTTTGTGAATAAATTTGAAGGCAAGAAAGACAACGGCAAACATCTTCATTATTCGTGGTTTCTTTGATGCTAACCCGACTAAATGGCTGCCATATTGTGTTTATTTATTACGTCATTTACGCAGCTATTCTGGCAAAGTCGTGGAATTAAAGATAACAGAGAAGAGCAGTGGGTTTTCGTTCGATTCCGATTGCAGTAGCAGCAGCTTCGAATTAAACAATGTTTACCTAAAATGTGCTAACTGCAATTTCGGCAAGAAATTGCAATGTTTGAATCTAACTATATTAGATGTGGAAACAGTAGTCTCAAGGCGCTGGAATCGAAGTAATGGACCCCCAATGCGAATCAATTCACTGCCTGATTGTTTCCAGCCAGAGCTGTTTAATGGGATAGAGAATCCACGACATCGCGGCTGCACCAGACACAAACGATTTGATAATTTACAGTCTCATACATGCTATTTTAAGGCAATCTAATACATAATTACTAAAGCTTAAGAATTTTCCAATGTCCAGAATTTTACCACCTCAGTAATTCCTCCACTCGAAGTGTCCATGAAGAGTGTGGGCGCGGGCGGCAGCACTTGATAAACTAAACCCATCGATCATCCAATTAGCTCACCGATCAATCATCCGCTGCCATTTACCGCCTGCTCCCCTGCTACACGTTCATCTGTTCATCTGCATACCACACCATTCCACCCCGACCACCCATGTCATTCTTTAATTGTTCGATGATCCTAAAATCTCCATTATCATCTTTTGGAAAATTAAATAAAGGAAATCATCTTTTTTTTCTAAAGCAAGGAGACTTGTCTCAGGTTGACGGTCCTCTTCATCCGCGCCTGAAAGCCGTAAGAGCATTAAAAGGACTCCCCACTTCGACTACTTTAGCGATTCAGCTCTTAAAAGCTTCGAGCTCTCGCAGAACGCACTTCATAATTTATAGTAATTTAACAATGCACGAGAGCAAGAACAAGCTCAAGCATTTTTATGCGGTGTCCGTCGTGAAAGGGGCAATGCCAAATTATTTTTAAAGAGGATTTGCATGATTAAGAGGATTGTTTATTTTTAAAGTGGCTCTGCATTTAAACATAATGGGAGATGTTTTATTTAATACACTACCCAAGGATTACACATTTATAAAAGGATTTTTTACGCCGCTATTTAACTCTGTTAATTAAACTTCAACTAAATAAGATGCAACGATTTTTTTTGCATTATCATTTTTTTCACTCGAGACTCAAGCCTTTGAAAACAAATATCATCTAGTCCATTTTTTTAAACAAATGTCAATGGCAAAATTCCCTTAAAGACCAGATTGTATCACCTTAAAATTTCTTTTTAGAACACCTATATATTAAAATCTCGCTGAATTAGGTTTGAGGTTATATTTCAAATGTTAGAAAAGTTTCCAGTGTAAGCAAATTTTTTACCAAAAGACAAGAAATAAAGGCAATAAGGACACGGAAAAATGCAACTGCTAAACTGGAAAATTTTATTATTTAATGGCTAATATAAATTTTTACTTATTTTCAGAATCTGATTTAAAATTCTCAGACCACCAATCGTCTTCGGAATCTGATTCTACCAGTTAAATTATTATTGAAGGAATATAATAAAATCTGGATCAGTCTTGGAACTTATTGGATGACGTTCTTTTTTAGGAGTTTTTACACAACTAAAATTGTCAAAAAATAGTTGGTTTTTCTGTCTGCATAGGTATATTCACAAAATCGAATCATAGCTGTTTTTCTTCCTGTGTTAGAGTCCAGATCCTTGCTTTCGGAAACTCACTTTTGTACACGATTCTTCTTGAGATAAAACACACTTTTACAATAATTTATTCGAACAATTATTATAATTCAATTAAGCTAGCCTAAGACTGACTCGTTATCGTATTAATTTCTTCAAAAACGGCAGGATCTACAGAAAAAAAACATTTCGTAATAGTTCGATCTGTTTTAAAAGGCCTTTGTTTGGGGCAACGTATTTCCGCCATCCGCAACGTCACAGAAATATTTTTAATACCACCAAATCTACCTTCACCATTTTCTGTTGTACTTTTTTTAATTTAAAAGTAATTGCGGGTTCAGTACTGCAAGCTCCTTTATAACGAAACGGCTGACATAGAATTGACATTTTACGTTGCCGACATAATAACATCAAATAACTAGTGGCTGATACCAGCATGACAACACTTTGACGATTGTTTAAAAAAATAGACTTTATATTAGTATAAAAAGAGTTGTGTTAATCTGTGATATAAAGTTTGGCAAATCATGGATATTTAAAAGAAACAGTAGAGGTCCTAAAATAGACCCTTGCGGGACACCGTGTTCATCGTTAATTTTATTAGATAATTTACCATTAATATATACTAACTTTTTGAAAGCGATTATTCAAGTAGTAGACTAAATTGAATCAATTCTAAAGAAACTAAAAGTTTAGTAAGAGAATTTCTTAATTAGCATGTGCTGAGGTGCAGTATTAAAACCTTTGTTAACCCCATTTAATCCCACGATATGTTTTTTGAAAATTTTATTTTAGTTTTCAATGTTTATGTAATCAATAGTCTCAATAAAACACTAAAAAATTATTCACTGAAATTATTTTCTAATTTTTTTAATTTTTTTATTGTTTAATAAACTGTAAACAAAATGTAATTTACCCTACTACCCGAGTACACAAATAACACAAAACAAAGAAGTTAGGTCCAACGTGCTAACAATATAAACTTGCACATGTTTATATTTTATCACATATTCGTGAATAAGAAACTAGTTTGAAGCTTTACTTAAATGTGGCAAAAATAATGCTAGATCATTCTTTTTTCTTAAACACATTGGCAACACTGAATAATAGCTTGACAGCTATTGATGGTTGCTATTGCCAACTTAATTTTAAAGTCACAGGCCACATTGTTCATTTTTTAAATGAGCATCCAATAAGCGTCGGTTTCAATCACCAATTCGTTTCGTTTACACCGAAATGCAAGGGAATTATCTGCGAAAGATCATTATATCGAATTTCGCAGCCACTGTATCAATCTTAATTAAACAATGAATTGATGTGACTGGTCGATGCCAGTTTGATTCAAAGAAAATAAATTAGTCTTGATCCTGTGGATTGTGACCAGCAAGTTCGAGTTCGAGTCTTTTCATATTCCAATCGTTTCCGGAATTTTTAAAGGGGAAGTGATACCATGCGAGGAGCAGTTATCAAGAGCACTTAAACTTGCTTTTATTGCTCCCTGATAGGTTGTAAAAGGGTTACTGCGAGTGATAATTTACTATACTGCACCTCTGTTAAAACACCACAGCCTAATAAAACGAAATAATTTGATGCAAATACATTTTTCGCATGAAAATATGTGCGAGAATGTGGAAACTGTCTTGGTTGCCAAAGTCTCCAGACGTTGGCTTTTTACACCGCTTTAATTAAATCCCTTTCTGACATCTACCGCGCTGTTGTCACCGCTCTAAACGTAGAGATTTCTACGTGATGCGGTTTCCAAAGTGCAAATTGCCCTCTACAATCTCTGTTCTATTCGCAATTATTTATTTCATTTTAACCTACTTGTCTGTGATCATAATAAGAATTGAGGAAATTAAATCTTTGCACTTTTACGTCTCACATTTGCATTTCCATGAGAAAAATCAAACCTGTTGATGGGTAAGATAAAAAAGGACGGTTTCTTTTGAAGGCGCATTAAAAAAGCGGTTTGGTTAGCGACTGCCTGCAGATCTGTAACACTCCCTCTCAAACATCTTATAAAAAGAGCTGAGAAAATCTGATTCCAAAGGGTGTCAACTACACAAACACTTGATTCACTCCAATCTTGGTGGCATTTTGCCGGATCATCATTTTAAGTCTACTGTATTTTGATCTCGGGTTAATTTACTTTTTGAATTAAAACCGACGGTTCGAATTTGAAGAGAGGGTAAAATATGAGGGCAATGACATCAAATTATTTTTATGGTTGACGAATGAATACCAAAAATTATATCACTAGGTGTTGTAATGTTCAAAAATCGATAAAACCGAGCATTAGGGAAGATAATGCCCACACGTACGAACGAGCCTCTAATGCGTTTTTAATCAAATCTCTCATTACGGCGTATCTTAATTTTTAATGAACAGTCCGGTCCATCCAAGACGAATACATCGAAAACCCTCATTTCCAAGTTGGTTCTCCGCGATAGCCGAAGCAGTGCTAATTTTCTCACTAGAAAATCATGCGCATGCAAACACAGCGAACGCGGTCGCCCAAATAATAACTCTACTCTCCTTGTCGAAGTCTGGTCTTTGTCGCACTCGCTTTCTACTTAATCAATATCCCTCCTTGGGCCCCTCTGCCACCAGTCTTAATTAGGAGTTCAAATCTGTGGTGGACACACTACATAAGGGACGCCAGACCGATGTGCTTCCGACAGACCCCCGACTACAAATTTTTACAATTTAATCTGCATTTTAGAGACTGAGCATTTTTTTCAAGTAGCTACAGCAGTATGTTGGCGTAAATTAGCGAACGCAAGCCCGACTCGGTGTTCGGTAACGCCAAAAATAATTAATTACTTTCGATCGACCCGAATGCCGGCCAATTTTTCAATAAGAAACTGTCAGATCTTCGGAAGACTAACGAACTAGAACCCCAGGATTCTTTTCACGTTGATGCAGGAATGCGAAGTGAGGGTGGATCCCTAGTTACATACCGGGTGATCCGTAACGAGAGTCTTTTCTGATGAAAACGTTGCTAATTCTCACTCACTACATTTACGAGCGTGATCCCGCGGAATCTGCCCGAAACATTCGTTTTGGTAAGAAGGGTTACCGCCAAAGAGGCCCTTACAAAGAAATTAACTTGGTTGTAGGTTTTCACAAAATCAAGTAAATTACACAAAAACTAAGTTGTTAATTATTGTTGCAGATTTGACGGTCGTAGGAAGGCCCTCCACTTCGAGGGCGATGAGCAAGGCAAGTATAATTATCAATTTTTTTCTATATTTGTTTAATAATAAAACTTGACCGTTATTACTGTGAATTAACTTTACGACAGTTTTTCGCTACTTGTAGCTCTCTTGAGGATTTGATTTTTATAACCGATTTCTCGCACGTTTTGTTCAACGTGGAGACGTGACACTCTGGAGGTTTCGTTTTATGGACACGAACACCGACGTATCTAATAATGGTATTTTGTTGTAAAGTGCAGTTTACTTTTTTATATTTTTTAACTTCATCTGTTAGAAAATTAAAATGTTATACCTATTTTCTAAAAAAAGTTTTGCCACTTGTAGTGAATCTTTCCTTACGTAAGGGTTGCTTTTTACTACTTATTTTCCAAATAAAGCAATTTTTATTCTGTTTTTATTACTCTCTGGGTGATCATCAAAATAACGACCACCATAATCCTATCCTTGGGTTATTTAGTGTTGCTAAACAATGTTTAAACCTATAGAAAGAATATAAATATCTATTTGCATAATTGACAAAATTAAGAAAACTTTTCATCAAATATCTAGGTAACAAAATTGTAAATTCTTTCAAGTTTCCACAATTTTTAAAGATATGCCTAAAAAAATTGGAGAATACTATATTTTAGATAGCAAATTTTATACTAGAGAAATATAATATTTTTTATTACACCTGCATCATAATCCCAAATTAAACACGCTGCAGTGTGCGTAATTTGGCCTTTATAACACAAACCCGTCGTGTGTGTTTTAAAGGCTTGCTTATAAACTAGTATTATAATATACTATTAGAATATGCAACATTAAATTATAATAATAAACTCTGTTAATAACTAAAACGATTGTAATTCTCTGAAATTTCTGTAAAGGGACGAAATAATCCGTAAATTGTGTAAGTTGTGGGATATTAGTTACATACATTTTCAATTTTTTAAATACCTGTAATTTAGAAAATTACAATTTTAGAAAAAAATTAATGTATACTTCAGCGCTAAAGTATTCTTTACACTCTAATGGTTATTAATAAACTCCGTATTTATAATGAAAAAACTATTTTTTCCACTACTAGGTGTAAAAGATACCATTATTTAGTTTGTCGAGAGGTGGTGAAGTTGTTTTTCTCGCCTAGTAGTCAATAATCATTTTTATTTTGGACCAAGGGCCATAAGATGTTAAAGCTGGGTAAATGCCGATGTTGGAGGGTATTACATTGATACAAATATTTCTAGAATATTATTATTGAAAACTATTACCATCGTAGGTACTAAGGGAAATATTTCAAGATGAAATTAATGCAAAATTGAATAAAAAAGAGTTGAATTTTCTTATTTAAACTCTCTTATGTCAAAACTGTCAAAACGACAAATGGGTTTATTTCTTGTTAAACTACTATTGCTAGTGAGGCAAATTTTAACACTTTTTTCTTTTTCTTTGCAGTTTTTTTTTTGTTATTTGAACAAATATTCATATTATGAAGTTAGAAAATTTCTTTCATAGTTGCAGAAGTACAAAAATACTAGTTTTTAATTACAACATGTTACGTCAACATGTCCATTAAGTTAGGTTATATTTTTCACCGTTGTATTTCTCGGTCATTAAAATGCTAGTAGTGAAAAAAAATTATATGTATAAAACACGGTAGAGAAGATTTTTATAGCCTCGCATTTATTATTTCCCACGATGCTACGCATTTCGAGACCTAAACAGTTCGGCTATAAAAAAATGTCTTCTCTACCTTCTGATATAATATACTATTGTTGTGTATCAAAAGTATTTGCATTTTGGATGTCCGAATAGGGAATCTCCGAAACTAAGAGGTTTAGCCAAAAACGAGTGATACATTCTGGGGCTCATTTTATGAGAAAATAATATTGGTTAAAACCGCATCCCGCTATCGTCTTTTGTTTTCGACTTACAGACAAAAGTTGACATTATGGCGAAATCTAAAAAAAATTATATCTTCATTATTATAGAAGATACGGATTTGAAATAAAGACATTATACAGGCACTTTTTTACGGGGAATTTAATAATGTAGTCAGTTATTAGTTTAGCCGTAATAAAATAAACTTGTATTTTTTTAAATGGAAATCATAGGAGGCTATGGCAATTTTGAAAAGCTTATTTTTTTCTGATCTAAAAAATACATATTTGTACTTGTTTTAACTCAAAATTAAAAAATCGCCGTTTACTAAGCGTCCACTTCGAAAATAGACTTCAATTATAAACTTGTTTTCTTCCAAAGTATACATCATTATCAATTCTTCTTCTTGGATCTTCTTGGTATGGAAACGATGAACAAAAACACGATTAGCCCGTCACACCAAACTTTTATTTTAATAGCACAACGCGTTTCGACCACAAAGTGGTCATCCTCAGGTGAGAATAAAACTAACTAATTTAACAATGGTAATGCCTTATATACTAATTTTCCGACTTTCACTTTCCCTACCCTCAACTAACGAGTAGAGGGGAGAAAAGGGAATGG